TTTTTTTGCGCGCGATCGGGCCCGCGTGTCGAGTCCTTCGCTAACATTCTTAGGGACTTTTCCTTCTGGCCTTCTTCACTTTCGTGCTTCTGGCCGCGAGAAGCCTTGGTTCCTTCGTTCACGACGGAATAAGTTTTCGTACGTTCCCTTCGTTCGCAGAAACGCGCGAAGCTTTTCCGCTCGAGATCCGTCCTCAAGTCTCTCGCACAATATTGCGTTTTATCGAAACATATTTAGGACAGTTAGCATGACTTCGAGAATACTTCGTATATACCTACGCGTGCGTGCAAGCACATTGTTTATTTACGAATCGATATCAAATATCGATATCGTTTTATCAAACCTTTCAAATTTAATCTCGGAATAGTATAGCATAATATATATAAAATATAGGTATATATATCCGCATCGCATGCGCTTGCTTGATGAATGAAATAAAATAGAAACTCTTGAGACAGATATCAAATATTTGATTTTGCTTGAACAAAATTCAATCACCTCGCGTAAGGTATTAATTTAACAATATAATATTTATGTATAATATCAGAGAGGTGATTACTTTGTTCTGTGCATTTGTTTGATTATAACAGTTTCTATATTTTGACAAAGTCTATACTCGTTAATTAATGCACGACATACTATACGTACGCGCGTGCACACATTATTTTGCACAGAAATAAAAAAAAGTACATCCATTTACGTATTATTTGGGAATATATAAAGACAACTCGTGGAGTTCTTTTTGTGTACAGAAAATCAACTAAAATTGAATTCTTTTCAATTCAATTGACGATTTTTGCGATTATCATTAATCGTTATCTAGAAAAGAAACACAAAAATAGCGGAACATTTAAAAAAAAAAAAGAAACAAAAAGATGTATGGCAAGGCGCCATATAGAATATTTATTTTTTTGATTAATGATGTTAATAGTAATTAATAAATCGTTGTAGTTAACAAGAAATACACTGCCGAAATATATTCGCTCTCGGAGTAATCATGTCAATCGCTCGTCCACACAGGCGCTTCTCCATTAATATTGTGCATGTTGAACACAATAGTAATAAAAGATTATATCGGTGCTATCACATATACTGATACAAGAAGGAAACACGTTCGCACACACGGTGCATTCAGTTGCTTTACGTACGAGTATATATTCGAGTTTATGAATATCTTGCGCCCGATGACAAACGTATTGTTGAGAAATCGAGGCATCAGTTTGATCTCCCCACTCTTAAACAAGTGGAATCCTCTTAAGAACAATGTTTACGATGTTCGTTCGTAAGTAAATACATCGTGCGGCGAATGATGTCTTGATGTCCGAAAATCGAGGGTTAGGATGACTCCGTCGTCGATTATTTCAAGAATAGAAGCCATTGATACTCGGTGGTGATTAAGTAAATCGTGCGATATTTTTAGTTTTTTAAGCGACGCGACGGTGACACTATTTCTCCTCTTAACTTGAAGTGCACTTTTAAGAATCACTCGCTCGAAAATGACTCGCTTAATTTACTATCCACTGGAGAACACTTGTATCGGCGCCGCCGGTCGATACCAATCGGGAGTCGTCTTGCAAAAACGAGACGTTCGTTACGTGACTCGAGTGGCCACCGTAGGAATGGTATAGTGACTGAAAAAAAGTTCATTTGCACATTCTTAATATGCAGCATCCATCTATTAATAGTTTCAAAAATAAGAGTTTAAAAGTTTAGTACAAAATAAAATAATTGAAAATAGTTGAAATTACCTTCGGCTGGCATGCCGGATGAGAGAACAATTTGACTTTTCCGAAATCATCGCCGGTAGCTAAAAGCTTGCCATCACCACTTCGTGTGCAATTATTCACGTCAGTTCCATCGGCACCCTCTGGCCAAATGCCTATTGTCTCGAACGATATCACGCAGGTATGAGTTGCCCAATCAACATTCCTCAACATCGAAGACTGTGGAATTTGACGACACACACCAGGATTCCCTAAAAATCAGAGAAAATTATGCGTCAAATACGCGCAATCGATATTATATTCTTATTATTATATTATTATTATTATTCCACTAATTGGTAATATATATTTTTAACATAATTTTTTTATTTTGCTATGGATAAAAAAATTATTCGTAATTAGCGATATAATTATTGACATATATTTTACAAATTATTAGAATCATAAAACCATATAATATGTTATAATTGTATTTTATATTATATGTATTATTGTTGTATTTTATAAACCTTAAGATTTTTTCCATGCTCGGAGTCTCTAAAGCGCGAAAAATAGAAGCATGAGTACACATGTCAGATAATTACTTTGCCGGCGAGGTTGTAATGTAATCTCTAAGGAATTTGTTTTTTAAAGCTAAAGTAACCACATGGGATACCATATGGAGAAAATAAACTTTCCAAGATTTATGACATAGGAAGAAAACACAGACAAGAAAAATCTAGAATTTCAAAGGGCCTAGGAGGCAAAAATTTACAAGTTTAGAATGCGAATATAGAGATTATAAAAATTTTAAATTTCAATTTTTTGAGACAGAATTAATGTAATCTAGCGTGAAAAGATTAAATCTTTTTAATCGAAAAATTTTACTTGTCTCGCAAGTAGGCCGTACAGGAATTTAAGTAAAGAATTTCGAGGGAATAATCAAATAAAGAAAATGATAACTTTTTACATTTAAGAAAATAAATTTTTTTAAAATTGTCACCCCAGAAAATCTTTATAAATTACTTATAGGATGTTTAGTAAAATTACATGGCTTAATAACATGCAAGAAATGTATCCAGTGATACATCCTAATTAAGAATTATTTTTGTGCAAGTGTTACACATAATCTTTTGACAGCAGGGTATGTAATAAAGCTAGTTTACTGCTAATTATAAGTTGCTTAGTAATGTTCATTTTAGACTTCGCGTGCTACTAGGTTTTTCCATTAAGTTAATCGCAAGAGCGTTAGGATGGTCTGCCGAGAAACTAAATATGATCATAAATTACAATATCCTCAATTTGAGAAATCCTGGAAAACGAAATATTCGTCATTTTGCACGTTTAAATGACGTTAGAGATTCTTCGAAAATATTGCCAAACTTCCGTTAATGTTCAGTTAGCCCTAGAGAGTGAAAGAAATACAAAGAATCGAAAGAATAAAAAAAAATACAACTTCAAGTTCCAAGTCATGTTTCTGCAATCTTTTTAAGACCGGTATTTTCTGCTTGCTTTAACAATTGATAACAACGTACTGATGACGTTACAATGTTTTGTTCCATCACAATGCGACAAATATCCTTTCAGAGATTTCTTAGTATAGAAATCTGTGCATTCTTTTCTCGATTTTTTTCAGTAACCGTCTTTTATTTTTTCTTCTTTTTCTCTTTACTTCGTCTTGACTAAACGCAAATTGTACATAAAATCGATTGAATTATTAAGAATGACGTTACTTACAATAAAGCAACTCGTAGTCTCCGCTGTTGCTGCGCAAATACTGACCGTCCACGGACCAATCCAAATGAGTTATAAAACTGGAATGTCCCTGAAATAAAGAAAAGTCTGTTATATTCACACAGTACGTATATGTATTATCACAATAAGCTGTTGCAGATCTTGCGTTCTTATCGTTAGCTATAAAATATTAAATGATGTGTCATATGGCAAATTAACAGCACAATTCTATCATATTGTAATTACAGTACAAATTACTTTATACAAGCGATGCTTAACGTGCGTGCGGGTGCTAAGAAGTCAAATGGGAATTTAGCTACGTAATTAACAGTATTTTCTACAAGGTACATCGCGTTGCGTTTTTGATTGAAAAGTTAAATGTTCAAAACGGCTTCGTGCGCAACGCGATGTCCCTTCTACGTTTTCGAGTGGCCGAAACACAAGTCTTACTCCGTGCCTTCGAATCCGCTTTGGCTAGAAATGGAAAAGAATTGAATTGAGTATTATCGGGCTTAAGAATATTTAGAGATATCACTAATATAACGTATTTCGTTATATTTGTATCATTAATTTGATTATTATTGGGCTTAAGAATATTTAGAGATATCGCTAATATAACGTATTTCGTTATATTTGCGTAATTAGTTTGATAAAACTGTTTAAATTACATGTATTTACAAATAATGTTTTCAATTATTTACAATTTCAAAATGAATATTTAAATAATTATTTTTTAATAATTGTTAATAGTAAATATATACAATGTAATAGAAGAAAATGGCTTAGATCTCTTAAAACTAGTCTCTTAAAAAAAACAGTGAAAACAAGCTTAATAAATGGTAAATGTCATATTTTCATTGTTGATAAGGCAATTATTTTTATTACAAGATTTAAACCATTCAGTTATTAATGAATGCAATTTGTGAATAATTATTTGTTATAAGGAACTAAATATGTACACACATTTAAATTTGTTATGTACAACATGTAAGAAGTAATATTAAGTATATTACAATAAAAGAAAAATTTTCAATTTTTAAATAGAATTATGTACAAGAAAATTAATTAATCAAATATAATAATTTATAGATAATAAATGATCATATATAAACATATCTGTAATATGATATCACGAAATATACATTTGGAGTTTAAGATATAATATGTAATATTAAGTTTATAAAAATATAATTATATATTTAATGTTCTATTTAAAACGATTTTATTAAAAGCTAATATTCTACTCATAGAAAATATAAAAATTTTACTGTTAGAAAATGAGATAATATAAAGGTGTCAATTTGTAACAACTTACCATACATCGTCCAACTCGACTATACTTGGTCGCGTCCTCGTTCACTTGGTAGATGTAAATGTAATTATCTCTAGAGCCGAGAGCAAGCAAGGAACCATCGGGCGAAAATTGAACGACCTAAAAGTTATGAGCACGATATAATAAATAAATAAAAAATATAAGAAAGCAACTTTTCGTTATAAATTTCTGATATTATGCAACGCTACAAAGATTCATTTTATCAAATATGATCGAATCAGACATACGATTAAATTATTTTTACAAGATTTGATTTCAATGCATTTCAAAGCCATAATTATATATATAGCGTTATATAAACGTACCTGCATAGGCTCGGAACCATCGCTATGATGTGTATACAATTCTCGCGTTTCGCTATCAATTGCCAACCATTTCCCGGACACACAGCCAACGACTATGATATTACCGTCCGGTGAAAAAGTGATACTTTGTGCTTGCTCCTAAACAATGCGTAAAAACCGATGAATGTTTATATTATTTTTTATTTTATATTTAATTTTATAAATTAAGATATTACTTTAAAAAGAAGATATTATTTATTTTAATTGATTTAACCATATATTATTTTATTAACCAAAGATTGTATCTAAATATTTCTGTAATATCTAGAAATTAATGAAGTAAAATATTGTTTCCGTGCATTTCTCTTAAAGATAATAAGAATCATCGCTTAATTTCCGCGATACATTTAATTAATTAACATTTATGTGTGTTAACATTTTTATATTTCTCAAAATGTATTTGCTTTTTTTTGCAGGAAGCAGTGTGCTACTAGGTAAGTAAACATTACGTACCCCGATGTCTTTGCTCCACACCACGGTATGACTTAAACTGTCCCACATCTGCAACAATCTGTCGTGTCCCGCAGTAGCGAACTGAGGTAAGGTCGGATGAGCCGCAAGTCCCCAAACTTCTTCGGCGTGTCCCAGCATTGCAGGATTGAAACCCATATCGTTCTCGCCGACGAGAATGCAGTTTCTCGTCGTGCCAATTAATAACTGAGTGCCCCTTCCTTCCGAGAGCGTTCGAATTCCGCCGAAATGATCCTCGATCTACCGAAGAAATTTCGTTATTCTTTCGGGTGTCGGAAAATATATTGATAAAATCGAAAGAAAGTTGTTAAGCAATTAAATTTCATATTAAATTTAAGTTTCCCTGACTTACCTGGGCTTCTTCTCCCGTCAGATTTAAAGAGGCGTCAAAATACAAAATCTTGCCGTCCTTGCCGCCTCCCGTGATAATGTTACCATTTTTCAGAACACATATGGAGAAAATCGATCCTTCGTGGAGATTTCTCACTAGCCTTGAAATTGTGTTAGTACCTAAAAAAAAAAAAAATAGGAAAAAGATATAAGGCAGATAATTTTTTATCGTAAGAATGAATTAATTCAATCGATATACGCAGTTTTTTTTTAATAACGTTTTGTGTGAGCCAAGATAATTTTTTTATTCTTATAAAAATTTAGTGAAGATTGTCACGAGGTATCAATAATTGTTATCGAGACTACCTCGAGCCCAAACAATGATGTTGCCATTGCTGTCGCCGGTGAGAATGTCACCGTTTTGATTGAAGGCGACACAGGTAACGTATCTGGGCTTGTCCCTGCTCTCGAAGATGCCCATACGTTTGTACAGCATGCCGCCGTTGTCCAGGGACCAAAAGGACACGTGTCCCTTTCCGCAAGAGACGATCTGGTTACGTTCCAGCGGATGCCACTCGGCGCAAACCACCGTGTCGACAGAGCACTGCAATCGACAGTCATCGCCCGTTAAATGGCCTGCTTCCGGTCGGGATATATACGCGAATCATTTGCAGCATTATAGATATGTGCCGCAATTTTTTAATTTACGCATGTGTCAGATTACCGCCGCGTACCTTCGTTTCGGTCACTTTGGTGCCACGATCGCTCTTCTGCCAGTCCCAGATCGATATATTGTGATCGGAGGTCTCGTCGATGGCGCACAAATAATTCCCGCCGTCGGCCTTGGAGAATGACAGACAGCAAATCGATCCGTCGAATTCGCCATTGCCGATCACGCTGAGAGTCGTCAGGCTAACGGAGTTCCATATTCTTATGTGTGGCTAAAATTCAAGATATCATCTGTAGTATATCGTAATTTATTTCTTATTATGTAGTTAAAATAATGTTTTATCTTTTTCCTTTATTTATTTGATGTATTATTTTAAGTATTTTCATATTTTTATAATTTTACCATAGCATCCCGACGATCCGTTCCGCACACCTGTCCTGTCGCGACAACCAATTTGTTAGGATGAATCGCTATGCTGCATGAAAAAAATATTAAATTAATCATTTATATATTAATAAATATATTATTTAATATATTTTTCCATAATTTGTTACTTCATATAATAATTGATTACGTTCAATTTTTTTTATTTTGTAATAAATTTAAATAAATTTATTTTTTTCTCCTTTTCTATATACTAAAATTTTATTATATGTTAAAAATTCCATATTTTAATGGGACCATTAAAAATGTGAAAGATTTAATGAAAATATGAAATATTCAGAAATTACATATAATATATATGTTTATAGCTGTTACCCTCTTCGATATTTGTACATTCATTGAATTTATATTAACGACTGAATATTTTTATTACTTAGGCATTTAATTATTGCATTTTTCTTCGCAAGAACTGGATACGTTCTTTTCTCACTTACCACTTAACATCGTCTGTATGACCTAGGTAATGTCTCTGACTATGTTCCTCCATATTGTAGAGAACAACGACTGCCGCGACGAAATATACGATCTCGCCGGTTGGCAGCAGGTGTAAATTGCTACGGCAATCGCGGCCGCGGTAACCGTAGACCCAGTCGAGCTTTAATTTGCTCTGCGGCGGCGTGCTAACTTTGTGAAGGTCGTAGGATTCCATCATGGATGTAGGGACGTAAAGAACGACCGGTCGACCGCGCAGATACATGCGGACGGTACCTTCCTCCTCGTTGTACTGCATGTCTCTAGTGCTACAAACAGATTGCTCGTTTACGTTTGCTCATTCGTTTTATCACCAAATGTTATTTTGTAACCGAATTTGAATTTTACATTTCAAGAATTTAAAATGAAAAACATAAGGTTGAAAATTATTTTTGCACGACGAATTTCTCACGAAGAAAAATACATTCAAACGAAATTTATTCAATCTATAAATTTTTCTGCTAACGACATATCATTTTCTTCATTTTCTACATCTACATTTTGTAAGAAAAATTTCTTAGAATTTTTTTCTGTCTCTGTTAGTTTTTTAAAAATAGTATCTAATAACTAATTAATGCTCATGTTTGAAAGGATTTGTAATATTTGAATTTTGTATTCATATTTGAAATTTTATATCCCGGAGTACAAAAGCTGATAATTAAATCTGCTTTAAGCAGAGATTTTCTCACGTGTTGCAAATTGATAATGACGACGATTTTTTACTTCGTACAAACTCCCACGAGAGCCTCGCTCGATTCTGCCTGAATTGATCGTGTGTCGACCGGCGTACTCTCTGATCGCACTGTTCGCGCTATACTGAGCCAATTCGCCAGACTTTCTGTGTCGATGAGGTCCGGTAACCGCGACGAATATATGACTCACGCGAGTAATGACTCGACTTTATTACTCCGCGAAGCGTGCTGCGCCGTTACGTAAATTTTTATTTCTTCTATTTTTGGCCTTTCGGGAATCACATTATCATGCACGAGGTATTTATTCGTCTCGATCAAGGTTCTCGGATTCATTTTAATTTGATATACATGATTGAGGACGAGGAGGGCTGCTTCATAAAGCAACAGCGTAAATGGCGTTTTTATCGCACAAACTTCAATTATTTTGTCTCGATCTTTCATGAGACGAGTTTCAACGAAGTTACGAATTTCACGATTTATATCCTAACGATAACGATTCTGATTTTTTAAGTATATCTTTCTAACGTGAAGCGTATTTGAGGAAAAGACGCCATGCAGTGAGTAAATGCCGAGTGAAGCGAATTAATGTGATGCAAAACAAGGTAGCGGAGAATTGTAGCCTTGACCAAATTTCTCATGGAATGCGAATTCGGAACCTTCGCCGCTGTTGCTTTCACATTTATTGTGAACGTTTACGAATTATTTTAATTAATACTTGAGATGTACAAAAAATTGTGCGTAAGAAAAAATTTAAATTATTTATTATAATTGCAGCAATCCTTACTACATTGAATCGTTCTACTCTTAGAGGCAACATATATTTCTACATAAAATTGAACGCGCACAGAAATATGATTACAGATCGTCACGCTATCAAACGGTCTATCTTGTTTACATGTCCTCACGGTATTATTGACTCCGTCATGATCAATAAATTCAAATGAGGTTCGTTCACTCATAACAATGCAACGGGCAAGGGGTAAAGGCACTTCCGAGTGCATTTTTGACGTTGAACGATGCGAGAAGGCAACAGGTATGGAAGGAGGACCACGTGGTTAACGGCTCATTTAACGTCCTAGTGCGAAGCGCGCTATTGCGTTACCGAAGAAAGTGAATTCGCGATTCCTCCTGCCGTTGCACAACCATGCGTACTGCGTTTCCTGGTGTGCACGACGTCACGGCGTCACGAGCACGCCGGAAACGTCGGCAAAAAAAAGAAACAACGCCGCCTGAAAACGTCCTCGGGTAGATGAGTTTTCATATTTACAAAGGATGGGCGATATCGCAATGTGCCAATTACAAATGTCTACTTTGCCAAATTAACAACATTTATTTACGCGGCTAAAACAAATAAAGCCTACGCAGATAACACCACTTACTTGTTTTCCGATTGTGTGGCATCATGGGAGATACGTTATCTTCACTATACATGCATGTACCGCAAGATTATATTATGACAGAACTGCGCTATTGTGCACACGATTACTATTAAATCGTCCTCACAACGGTTTCCGTAAAATATAAATTATATAGCTTTATTCTTTGTTCAGTTTGTTAACGCGAAGAAGTAGATACAATAAGAGACTCTGCGCTACGCGAATTGTATAAGTCAGTTAAAACGGAATAATCCCATATGGGTTTCTAATGGGAATGCGAATTAAAACGTGCGATTAATTTTGATCGCGATCTAAGCGACGATGCAAAACAATCCCAGGCATGACATTTAAATTTAAAATGTGCCTTTTGCGTCTCGTATACGGTATCCCCCATCAGATATGCACGCCCCTTTGAACTGCACTTCTGCCGAAGGTTTCACAGCCTCAAGAAAATCTGTGCATGACATTTGCATGCGAGATCGAAGGTCGAAAGTATACGTGTATGGCAATAATTAACGGCATGCCAGTGTGGTGATAATGTGTACGTGATGTGCTGTGTGCTGTGCTGCATGCGGCACGATAAACTTCCCGTTTAACGGGCATTCATTGTGATACCGATCGACGAATCGGCAAACGTTAGAAATTAGTACTCATTAGCACGAAGCGAACTCTATTTTGCTATGTTATACAACTTACGAGTGCAATAATATTGGTTTATCTTTACACATTTTCGAAAGATTTTCATCCGCTTACACACCACAATGCATGCAGCAATAATAATGCAAAATACTACAGTATTTTAAAGAAACTTTAATGAAATCATAAAATTTCTCGCAATTTTGGCATGCAAATGTCTCTTACAATTTCTACGGAATTTCTATCGAAGGAATCGGAGTATTAAAATTAAAGCATTTGTCAAGATAATAAGTTTTATCAAATGATTAGCGTTATTTAAATATACGCGAAGACTCGCTTTCAATACATCCGCCGATCTCGAGTTATTTAATTGTAGAGGAGATAAAAGCCGCAATTCGATCCGTGATCTACGTGAGGCGAGATCGGGATCAACCGCCTCCGCGATCGCATATCCCGCAGATCGTGTGTCATGCAGATATATATCACGGCGATAACCCGCAGGAAATTCTACACGTGCGTTTAACGCCCGTGTTTTAAGCGCGGTCTTTACCGTGCGCGCTCACCTGGGGAGGGACGAAATTGCATCTTTAAAGACCGTTCGGCGCGCACGTGCATCGGCGAAGCGTGTGCACGTGCGACCTCGCTACCACCGCGCGGCGCGGCGGGTCGTCTAAACGCGGCTGCGAGAAGCCAGATACGGCCAATGAGTTGTGTGTAAAGTATACTCTGGTATATTATTTACCCGTGCTTGACGTTGTTCATCGCCGGTGGCTTGAACAGGTTGAACAGGGACTTGGTGGACGCAGACAATCTATAATGAACGAAAATGCAAACGAAAACCATGCGGTGCAAAACAAAACAAGATAGGAGAGAAAGAGAAAAAAAAAAAGAAAATGGAGAATCGTCTCTAATGCGATCGGCGTACTTTCCCGCGTGCTTGAAGCTCTGATCGGTGTACAAAGAGATTCTCTACCGATTCGGTGCGCTTCAAGCATAATTTCAGAGGGGAGGACTAAAATAATGAGTCTTTTCTTTCCGGGCAAATTAAACTCGCCCATAATTTTAAAGTCTACTTTAGACACGGTTTTGTAATTAAAATAGACTTTAGAAATTATAGGCTTTTATCTCATTCTCTTACACACTCAAGTCATCAATTTACCGCTGACTCTTCCATTTCTTGCGACCCAATCTGCTTCATTTTTTCTACAGATATTTTTTTTTCAAGCTGTATGTTTATTAATGAGCAATATAAAAAAACAAAGTAATATTCAATTAGGTTCAGTGTACTCTGCAGATACGACGCAAGAAAGAAGGATAACAGCGCGTAAGAGACTAAGCAATAGTAATCTCCTGGCCAACGGAACGCGAGTGACGGCTGCAGCTTCTTGACGGGAAAACGCGCTCGATCGCTCGAGAGAAAGAGAGAGAGGAAGCAAGAAAAACTGGCGGTGATAACAAAAAGTTAAACTCGTGTGATCAGTGAGATGTGAACAAAATCACAAATAGGCAGGCAAACGGTGCGTTTTACTGTTACGTTATTACTGCTGCGAGCTAACCTGGTACCGACGAGCTGGGAATTGCTTCCCTGGTTTTGCGGGGTATGTGTAAAATCGCCGGTGGACGACCATCTCTTCGCTCTTCTTAGGCTACTTTGCGGCGGTCCGTTTGATCTTGCCGTGGGTGATCTGAGACATCGAATTTAATTCTCGTACATACCAGCGTCATGCATATATACACGCATCGCATAACGTCGTAATGACGCTCTAAGAACATTGAAATGAAACCGCTACTAATTAAACAGCGAGTGTTCATTAACGTGACGATAACATTAAGGAGAGAACATCCATGCGCATATCTATTACGATCATACACGCAACACACAATTAATAATGCAACGAGGATAATCTATATTCTTGCAATCGGGGCGCAGAATCGATCTAGATGGATTAAAAAATACATATATTTGAAATTCCTATTTAGAATTTCCATAGTTTTTGGTTTCCCTTTTGCGACATAAAATACGACAACAATTTAACGGTTTATTTTACATTAATTAAGTTACAGTTTAGTATTTCCTACCTGGCTACAGGCAGTGGCGTAGCTCTAGGGCTGGGCGATGGCACCGGAGAAACACTACTACTACTCGGACTATCGGAATGTAAAGAGCCCGTTGATTGATAGTGGACGGATCTCCTAAAACAAAAAGTAATTAACTAAAACAAAGATGAAGCACAAATTATCTAAGAGTTCAGCTGGAATACGAAACAAAGTCGAATATCAATCGAAGAAAGAGAATAAGCGCACGCAACTGGAAAAAAAAGCATTCGAGGACATTTTCTGCGTAAAATCTTTATATTAAAAAATAATATGAAATCTTTCATAAATGAAGCAGCTGCCCTTCGTGATCTGTTTGTCCATCTAAGAAACTGACCGTCTGCAGTTTTAGTCCTTTCGAACCCTTAGCTGGCATTAAATACAGTGTTAGTTTTCATGACTCTCACCTTTGAGGAAGTTGAGAGGGATGCACGTAGCTGGCAGGCCGTCTCGGACTGGACGTCGCGTCGCGGACATCCTGCGACGATCCCGAAGAGGAGGAATTTCTGAGGCCACCGGTCTGGCGTAGCCTCAAGTCCTTCTGTGGCACCGAATTTTGACTACCTGAAAGCAACTTTGTCTCTCATTCGGAGTATTTTAAACGAATGAAAAAAAAAAGAAATATTCTGCATCCGTGGATTCTAATCTATTTTTAAGATACAACAATATCACAGTTTCAATAGCTGCCCTTTCGCGTCGAACTTCGGATATCGCATAAATAACATGTAAATGTAGTTGCGGAACGTATAGGCCGTGTGATTGGGTTTCAATAGCAGCGTAACGGTGCGCGATATTCATAACGCCTTCCGCATGTCTTATACATCTTTCCTGCGTTCATCAATCGCTAAGAGCTCTAAGCTAAGGATGCTGCCGGCGTAGTAATTTATGCACGTCAGTGCGATCCTCGTTTTCATTTCCTGCAGTTCGTCTCGCAGGGGCCAAAGGAATATTCGCATGCTTTCAATCGCAGGAACACGGAGGGAACAATTAGAAAATTCGCGTCCGCGAGCCGACACCTCGATTGCGAGAGAGTTAACGAGCGTGGGACAAGGGTTCTTTCGTTTTCGTTTAAATTACGTTACTTTCTCCGTGAAACTTAATTATATCGTAGTGAAACTTGATTTAAAAAGTAAAATGCATATATACATGTGATAAAATATAAATTGCATAAAAAGCAAGCCAATATTACGACATTTCTATATTCCATTTCCATATATATTTAAATAACAAATACAATTAACAAAGGATCATTAGTTTTAATATGCATTTTACAGTGTCTAAAATGTACGATATGCATGTTACACGATTTTTTTTTCTCCTGTTAGCGAATTCCAGCATTCACTTCAATTATTCCCGAATTCACGTGCGGAATGAAGAATTCTTTCCCAAGGTCTGCACGAATGCCGAGGTCCGGCGAACAATTACGAATCCATTCACGTTCGTGAGCGGGTTTCTCGATTGCAACGGGCGAAACTGAACGTGACCTTAAAGCCGTCGCGTGCCAACAGGTACAACACCCGGCCCGAGCTTCATTTCCAGACAGCTCGACGAACACACTCGCGTTCTCGCGGGGCTTCCTCGCATCCGCAATTCCTGTCGTAACGTATACGAAACTCTAGACTAGAGGTATCCGCGCGCGAGTCCGCCGGAAATGCACGCCTGACTTAGGTTGCATGTCGTGCACGATCGCCGCTCGCACTTACGTCGACGTATTAATTTGCGCAATAACATTGCGATGAATCCTTGCCGCGATCTCACGAATGCGATATTATACGTGTCAGGGTAAAGTTGTATATTCTCACCGTAGGTGCAATCAATGCTCTGAGTGCAGGAAGAAAAACAATGTTGTTATTTGCATTCTGATAGTAAAAAGCAGAGGAGACTTAACACTTTCAAGAAGGAAAGAAATAAAATTTTGATCGTGCTTCGAGTCAACCAAGAGAATCGAAAATAACCTTATACTGCAGATTATACATATTAATAATCATTGAAGTTTTGACGAACATACTGAAACTTTTTTGTAATTTTTTGAAATATAATACAATAATTTTGTTAATGCTTCGATTTTTGGAACTATTAACGATAACAGAAATTAAATATGTTTTCATGTCGAACTATGTCGATATTGATTAATATATATGTATACTTGATTTTCATTATTGCATGATCATATTATAATATAATACAGTGATGAAATATTCAAATTGAAATATTCAATTGGCGATTATCACGAGAAATAGGGTGTGCATTTGTGCGACCTGGTTACCAACGAAGGTGCGGCAAATCCAATGATCGTTTACAGGTCACACATTGATCAATCGAATAAGCTTTCGTTTCGTTATCACAAACGAAAGATACGATCTCAGTCAATTATCGATCCAGATTTATTATCATGAAATTCGAACTGTCCGTGATAATTGATAAATTAACAATTAACTTTTTCGTAACTTAATTTCTATTATGTTTTTATTGTGTACCGCGAAAAGAATAACAATTTCTCTTTTAACAAAATTATAACAGAAAAAATAATGTAAAATAATCAAGGAGTGGAATTTACATCCCAAATCAATATTTTAATACGTAATTACACAGTAATTAAAAATCGACAGTATTATGCTTTCGTTTAAAAATCTAATTACATTCTTTGACAAAAAAAGCACCTTTTTCGCAAAAGAATGTATTTGAAAAGTCTCTATTATATAATTAATATTTGATGAATTCATTATTGCCTTGCCATCCTAACAATGCCTTACACATATACGGAAAATATTGTTTGTATTCGAGTTAAATTACAAAAAGGCATTTAGATTTCAACATTGATTAGCGAGAATCCATAATCAATGTGCAACTTTGCCAACTTACTTCTGAGAGGTACATGACCGTTCCTTAAGGGCGAGGACACCATCCTCTCGTTTCTCCTTTCATTCCTGTCATCCTCCCGCTTTTCTCTTGCCTCAAGCTGGGCGATTCGCCTTAGCGCGTCCGCCAAAGTGGCGCGAAGACAAACTATCTCGTCCCTCTGTGCCAAAGATTGCCTTTCGAGGTCCGCCACTCTGCCTAAAAGGGATCCAGTCTCACACTCCAGCATCTCATCTGGAAACGTAAAAGGAAAATCCGTTTAGATAACAGTTACTTACTCTATTAAATTTTATCTTTTGATCCCTAGCCGACTTCTATAATTTTTTTTATTATCAGAATTTCTGAGAAAAGTTATTGTTATTGATATAACCAAAGAATACACACACATAAAATTTTTTATCTTTTTTAAATAAGAGATTTTATAAGAATAACATCTTAATATGTATTTAAATGTATTTAAATTTACAAGTACAAATTTTTATTAAACGTCAAAGAAAAATAAATAGATTTACAAAGTAACAGAAAAATATTATATAAATGGAAAAAATATTATATATATTTTATATAAATAGGATTTATGAAAATCTTTAAAATAAAAATTACATATAACATTTGTTAACAAATAATTGTTAATAAAAAATTGTTGCAATAACATAATATATAATTTTTATTATATATATATATATATATATATATATATATATATAATAAGTATCTTTCTCTTATGACATCATTATTTATTGAGTAATATGACGCTAAACGCCCTTCAAAATAATTCTTATCAATCGCACGATAGATATGTTAACCAAACTCTGTGGCTAGTGCGATAACATTCCTATTACCGTATATGTAAGATAGATCTAAATATTATGACGTTGATACAATTCAGCTGGCAAAGGGAAGACACGGAATGTATTTGATTATCCATCGTGTCAAAAAAATTTCCGCTTATACGAACTTCTCCACAGAACTTCTCTACAAAAACAGCGCGAACTGGGTCACGGATTTCTATACGCGCTGTCAAGATAAAAATTAAACTCTTTCCCCGGCGTCAATGCCGGGCGAGCCACGTGGTACCGACTTATGAATTGTGCATGCGTGTGCTGAGCGTTTAATTTTGCATGCCTATCGGCCGAATCTTTCGTATTTCATATCCGCGATAGTATGAGTAACAAGAAGAAACGCTGTCGCACGATTTACCGCCGCACCGTGTCGCAATTTACAATTCATGGAATATATTGAACGAATAGTCGACATTCGAATTTCGATGAATCATTTTGCATTGTTACATTATCTAACGAAACAACTTATCATCGCATTATAATAAATGCAAATCAATCTATCGAAATGTTCTACATTTAGCTAAATTACCTCTGGAAAGATAAAATAATTGCAATTATTATAATTTAACTATAACGTATAGTCATTTTCGACGCCAACTATGTATTTGTTTGGTACAACTATAATTATATATAATTATATAAGTATAACTAAAGTAATAATTATTATTACTAAAATTATAGGAGTAATAACTAAAAATGGAACTCCTAACCATAATTTTTACTATGCAATTGTAGTTACAAATACCAAACACTTTTCTCTTATTGTTAGTAGCTAAATTATTAATACAATCTTTAAATATTTATTTATTGCGACACGATATACCTCATATCTATTCATTTTTTAAGGCATTTTGAAAGTCTTAAGAGAAATGTACCAAATTTATTAATACACGTATAACATGAATTGCTGTTAAAAATATTCGTCTGAGAATGTGTCGCAAGGTCGTGCACGATTTTTCGCAACTCGAAGAGGTGGCATCTAAAAAAAAAAACTCACGCGCACACAACAAACTATTTTTGTACTCACGCCACGCTTGTTCCGCTTCGTCGATGGTATCCATCGTGTCCGGCGTGGACATTGCGATTAACTCTCGCGATGACCCCGGAGTATTAATACGTTATTCAATTGAACTGATTAACGAGCGCAAACAGAGCCAACGCACTCTCCACCAACATATCTTACGCCGACAGTTGCAACGATTCTTCCGCGGAGCGACACTAATGTTCAGAGTTCGCTTAGAGCATCTTCCTAATTTCTCTCGCGTTCGACAAACCAGCTCGCTCGCTCGCGACTAAAGTGATTAACTGTAATCGCATATCTGCCAGTAAACAAAAGTCAATGAGATTTGGGAAAAAAAAGTCGGAGTCATGCGCAATTTGAGTGATACAAGGACGAGAAAAACGATGGGAAAAATGTCTTTCGCAACTAGACGTATGAAAGGTACGCGTTAATTACGGGTGAAGTTTGGTCACGGAAATTCTGCAACGTTAATAATCACTCCTAAACAAAGGTGAAACGTCCTGTCTTCGTAGAATTAATTATCGGATAATTTTACTTCATTATCACCTGTATTATCTGTGATTTCAACAGGATATAGAAATTATATTTGAATATGTAATTTTTTTTGTTCTTAATCAGAAAGCGCACGGAAGAAATTCTCTAAGATTAAAAATTGTAAAATTAATATTCTAAATTCTTTGTATCTTATTTGAAGAAAATTAGCGTGATTCGAAGAACATTATTTATGGTAGGAATTTTACACATATTGCAGTCGAGAACGATTTCATCACAAACGTCACTCAGTAATTTGCCAATTAGTGTCCCGCAATTAGCACGTGGAAGTGTCATCGAATTAGCACGATTCTTTCGTCAACTTGGCGATAAGAAAAAAGGTTGAAATTATCTGAAATGCAAGGCGGAACGAACGTCGGGCGGAACGAACGTCGGACGAAACGAACGTCATTTCCTACCGCCGATATTGTCGAAACTAAAACGCGCTCGCAAACGGACGCGAATTCGAACACGCCAAGGCGTGTCACGTGGACTTGGCATGCAGACGTTACCCAGTGACGTTCAAACGCAGTGTTGTCCATTAACGGTTCATATGTTAAACAGCCGTATTTTAAAAGTAAAATAAAAATTGACATTCACGTGTGGGATCTTATGTAAATGTATGCCGCGTCTCTCTGACATCTATAAATATGCATTTGCGAGCACGTGGACGTGTGTTATCGCGGAATTGTCGCGTTTTCTCCCGGTTGCGAATTACTCTGATCGATTTCGGATTCGAAGATAACAGTATGATTCTTGATTTGGACACGAAGTAAAAGTACAATTTGCAAGAAAACGCGGTGAATCGTAACCAATAATATAACTAACTGTAATAATACGTGTAAGGCGTGTTGCAGCAAGTACATGACTTTTGCACTCTGAGTTAATGATAACGGCGATGTGAAGAAATGTTCGAAGGCAAATCGTGCGTAACGATCCAAAGCGCGTTTCACGAAACGCGTGATGTTTGTGAGAAATATAGTTGACGTTACATAAGCACGCGCGTATCGTAACTTCCACGCGCGCGTTTCGCCGAGAGCCCGAGGAAAGGAAACATGGAATTTCTGCTCCTCCCTTCCCCCCCCCTCTCTCTCTCACTCTCTCTCTCCCGCGTCGATGCTTTCCCCACTGGAAGATGCGATAACCACTCGACGAGATGAACGATAATCGACCGTAGGCTCTTTACCCTCGCACTTGCACGACCGTCTCTTTGTGTCCCGTACCTCCAACGCTTTTCAGAAAAAGCGCCTGTGATCGATAGAGTACTAACGCGGAAGCGACTCTTTTTTTTCCTTATGACGAGGGATGTACTATCGATGGATTTCTATTAGGGTGAATATTCTCGGTACAAAGTACGAAAAATTGGATTGTTTGTAACACGGGAGTGAAACTCTTTTCTTCCCCATTTGCGATTGAGCTAAAATTTTATCGCGAAAAATTATTATTACACACGAGCTTCATGCATTTTACACACTCAACTCGTGCATGTGCCGTGATGTTTTTACTTAATTGGTCCCAAATGTAAATCATGTATATCACGATAAATACATCGTTTTGTGGGTGGTGACAGCTGCGGACACTGATAAAATTATGCGTTATGTCTGCTACAATGTCACTCAGCTTATATCAATAACTTCTCGAATCACCGATCACACAGGATCACATAAAAACATAACATTGGAAAAACTTGTGCAGCGCGAGTCGTTGCACGGCGAGCGTGGATTAGCCTCACGCTAAACGAGCAGAATAAACTCAATGTAATTGATACACCGATATCCAACACCTACAGAAATAACAAAACGTGCCAACGTGACACCGAAGCCATTTCCGCAGCGAGCGACGCAACGGAATCAACCCTAATCGCCGTGAAAACCTTTCACTTTGCACACGGTCGGAAAAGGGATAAAACGAGCGTGACCAGTCCTAGCCGAGCGAGATTTCTATTTTCGCACACGTTCAAGTAAAACCGATTGATCAGGTTAAGCGGGAATTCATCGAACCTTCCGACACGGACGGCGGGAATTTCCGCGACGCGTCTCGCGACCGACGGAAGCGCTGCGTCGGAAAACGACGCTTCCGTCTCTCGGCGTAACGAAAATCGGAAGTCATCCGTGAGATCCGCACGACCGGTGTGGCCACTCGATTTCAACGACCTCGTCCGCCCCTCGTGAGGGACGCCAAGACCGACTCCATCGTGCCGCTGCTCGTGTAACACGTGTGTTTTCCGTGCGGCCGCCCCAACGTTACTGTCAGACCGACTCCAGCTGCTTAGGCCGCGATCAATACGGGCTAGATAGTTGAGATGATTCAGATGACGGCGGGCCACGCCGTGCCATTGACTGTGGATAGACCGTACGTAACAGCGAGATTTGCACCGGTGATGAACAATACGTTTTAGATTGTCCGGATTGAAAACATTAATTGTCGCTGAATTGCAAAATGATGTTAATTAGCAGATTTTCAATGGATTTACAAATATCTTATTATTCAGATTTTCAATGAATTTACAAATATTTTTACTCTTACTTTCTTTGTGTATCTTCTGATATTTCTTTTTATTAAAAGAAAATATCTTCTAATATTTTTATTTGTTAAAAGAACTATCTGAATATTTATTTTACTACAGAAATTTTTAGTAGATTCTTAGAATATAATTTTCAATTTTTAGTTATATCTAAAGGGACGAGTTTTAAGAACTTAACATTATCTTACGTTTTTGTGTTTCTTTCAAGTAAAAAACTTTACATTGTTTCGTTTTCCTGTAATTATATTTAATATATATTTTAGAGATTTTTATTCATTAATTATAAAACTTATTTATATCCGTGTTATATTTATACCCATAATACCCATTAATTATTCATGTTTTTTAAATTATTTCTTTTTTACTGATCAATTTACTGCATTATTCAGTAGTATTTGGAGCATTAGATAATTTTGTGTACGAGTTATCTTTTAGCTTTTGGCGCGTACGATTTTTCCTTCGCGATCATCCTAAATAAATGACGATTGTATCCTGTCTAACGGCGCACCCTCTCGCAATTCTTCGAAATGGTTCTATCCTATATCGCCCATATATCGAACTAACCCATTAAAAACGTTACATCATCTCTAGGCATGATGCTCGCCGGCAAATCGACGCGATATATCACCGGGTGGGGCCCAGGCCTTTGTTACAAAATTGCACTACATTTGGAAAGAATTGATAGACGAGAGACGGAAACAAGGGGAGCGAATCGACTTCCATATCGCGTGACTTTACAACCACGATCGGTTAAAAGAATCGAAACGGGGGAAGCGATTATCACAGCCAATATTTTTAATATTATCATTATTACGAAAGAAATTCTGATTCATGCGTTATTTATGTTATTAAGAATTTATATCAGAAACATTGCAATTAATGTTATATTCTTCTTCGATTGGGGATTCCAGCGGAGAGAAACATTATTGTAACGCGAATCGACGACGCAAATCTGTTCGCTTCTAGAATTACTTCGAAACTTTCGGAATAATAAATTACTTCGAAGACAATGTGCGATCTTAATTACATCGTGTTGCACACAAGCATTCTAATTGTATCTCTCTCTCTCTTTCTCTCTCTCTCTCTCTCTCTCTCTCTCTCTCTTTCTCTCCCTCTCCCTCTCTCTCTCTCTGTCTCAATATCGGCTTTCACAAACTTTCAGATTGTATAACGATTGCATACATTATCTCGAAAGTAACAACAAAGCCAAATAATATGTTTTTTAAAAATAATTTTTTGTTGTAAATTTATACTTATAAATTACAAATCTGAATTTTTAATGACAATTTATGTTCTATATTCAATTTTAATACTTTCATATTATATTTTTAAAATTGTGCTTTAGATACATTTTGAGTATAATTATGTAGAAATTGATAAATTTGGTTATAACCTAACAAGAAAATAATTTTTAGTTTGATCAGAATTTCAATATCATTTATATCCTATAATTGCATAGTAAAATAATTATGATTATGAGCTCTATTTTTATAATTATTACTGTTATAATGTTAATAATAATAATTACAATTCTATAATTATATTTATAGTTCTATCAAATAAATATATGGTTGCATCGAAAATGATATATTGTAAATAGTTAAATTACGGTAATTGCAATCATTTTTTCTCAGTTTGTGTGTGTGTGATGTGTGTGTTTGTATTACTCATATATTATTAGTATATACTGTGGTATAATAAAATATCATGTATAAATTCGCCTGGATTGCATATCTATATAAAAATATGTATAGGTATCTATAAAGAACTCTTACAGATTTTTATCATACATATTTTGTATTTTAAGTCTCCAAAACAGAGTTGATGTTGAAGTAATCGACTGAAGGTTGGTTATCGACGATATATTTTTAGACAGAATCCGTAAGTCGATACGTGGGCGTAACCGCTTCACTGTCGCTCAATTAAGCAAGTAACAATGTTAACAACGAAACGAACTCAATTGATGATCGTTACGCATAAATTGCTCATCTCACACTTCCGCGTTACGTCAATATATTATTGATCCCAAACGAGTTTTTTTTAAGGATCTGATCCAGTCTAACGATTGTGATGTTGGAATATAATTGCCGTTTGATCTTTTCACTTTATTAAGTTTCTAGATCTTTTTATCATTTCTTTTTTACATGCAAGCAATCTGCTTTACAGATGTATTATACTAGTTTTAACTTTTTAGTTTTAATATTTACAATTTTATTTTTTTTTTTCATTTTTTTCCAAATATTTTCACTGGCGCATAAAACTCTTTTATTAATATTCTTTACTTTTCAAGCCAGACGAATGTAAAAAAATTCATTTTGTCTATCTTATTCAGTCACCTGCGTGTACACGTCGTCAGTATCAAATTTAGAATCAATTTTTCACGACGATGACGGAAATGGGTTTGGAAGGCAATCGCGCGTTTAACGAAGAGATTTCCCTTCGGAAAACCGATCGGCGTTTTCCTCGGGAGACGCAATGTAACGCCGTAATTTTGCGGTAAGCGAATCGGGAGAAGGTATTTGCTGTGCAGAAAGTTCAGGCAAAGGATAAGACGAGGAATTTCGTGAAATTCCAGAAGGTACCGTTAACTACGCGCTTCGAAGCCGGTAGATCATTATTAATGAAAGAACAGGATGAGCACTATGGGCGCACCTTTGTGTAACGTCATCGTACCACCTTGAATGGCTTATGTAATGAGTGCCACCGTGCCGTAGACAATGCGTTACGTGACGCGTGTGCGAGCCTGTGCACGTCGTCTCTCGATTCGTCGTCATTTTTTTTAACCGGAACGCGTCCTTGTGCGCGAGGATTCCGTCGAATCCTATATAGTTATAGTCAACACGATTCAACTAGAGACAATTTATCATTCCGCTAGAAATCAATGACACACAAGTCACGTGAATGGAGAACTTTGTCCAATTCAATTCACTTGCAATTACGTTACTTCTATTTTAACGCGCGAATATTCTTTTAGAAGATGTTTCTTTTCTATTTCTTTAATCCTATTCTCTCTTAATTTTTAAACTCTTTTTTTTTAAAGCAATATTAATTTAGAACTAGACTGCGTAAATGAATATCACAAATAAATTTGAGAGCGTTTTTTACGATCACGGCTGTACCTTGGTACCTAATAAATTCTACATGGAGAGAATTTACTTTTAAAATTTACTTTAAAAATCATGTTAATCGTGAGACAACATAGTATTTCGACAAATTTTATGTGATTTTCTCTGTTTTTTTTTTTTACTGTGTACTAAATCTGTTGTAGAATCTATTTAAAAAAATAGTGAAAATCATATAAAATTCGTTGAAATACTATGTTGTCCTACGATTAACATGATTATCAGGGTAAATTTTAAAATAAAATTCTCTCCGTGTATTTAAATTTTTGAATCCATTATTCAGCCATTTAAACTGCGCGCCAAATCAATGTTGGACTTGCAACGCAATCTTTTTTTTTTTTAATTATTGATTTTCTTTCTTTCTAAGCATTTAAGTCTTGTTGTCAGTCATTACTGAGATGTTTAATTGCGCTCTAATTGTCACGACAGAGAGAACACTCTAACTTTGTTGCAATTTTCAATAATTAATTCGTCACGATAAACTTCGCTATTGTGGAAAGCGCAGTCTCTTACCCATTTCTTGCCTCGCACTCTGTTCCGAATGCCCGTTTACGCGCATCGTCGACTCCGAACTTTCCTTTTCATACTTGTGCAGCGCCTTGATTGGGGATCCCGCGTCTGCAAGAAGAAAAAAAAGAGCAATATTTTATTGTGTACGTGCTTGCATCGCGGCAACGGAATACGCGCCACTTCCGATCGCGTCTCCCTATTAATTGTTTCCGTAATTACCGGAACAGGCCCGCCATTGTGCGAAATCATTGTTCGAAGACAATGGTCTTAGCTAGGGATACCGTACGGAAAGATTACCGACGGTTGAAATTATCCGGCATGAAAGCGATTATTTTGAAGTTTGCTAGATGTCCAGAGAAAATCGACCTAATAAGCTGAAGGCTAGCAATAGTTGGATAATGATTACGTAGATTATGCTGTTCTGTATATTGCTTGATATTTGTTAAATCGTAGTTAAATAGTCATAATGCATTGTATGAAATATAAAGTTCTAAGTATAAAAAATGCGTGTTTCAAAAGTTATTATTCTCTTTAACTTATGTCATAAATAATATAATAAATATATTTAAAATCTTTAAAGAAGAAGCTAATATATGTCGATAAAATTCCGATATTTTTCTTATGTATAATATTGTGTATAATATTAATTTGAATTAGATCGCGTAAGTGAATATCACAAATAAATTTGAAAACGCTTTCTACGATCACAGCTGAATTTTAGTGCCTAATAGATTCTACATGAATTTTTAAATCCATTATTCAGTCATTTAAACTGCGCGAGTCGGACTTAAACGCAATCATTAGCGGAAGTTGGAATAATGAGATCACGACAAT